GAAACATATAATAGCCTACCTAAATATACACCACATACCTGGAACTCACCTCTAATCCAAAACCCAACAAATAACATAAAAATGTTTGCATTAATAACACCTACAAAACCTCGCACCTCCACGACACCAGACGTAAATCTGGAAAAGACTTCCAATGTGGCGAGAGGAAAACAAGCACCGAGAGAAAGCAAAGTTAGGAAGAGTATAGACCAGAGGGAGGGAACAACCACGGAAGAGGAAGAAAGAGAAAAAGGCAAAGAATATAAGAGTCGCACCACGGAAGCATTGGCGCAAAGACAGAGCGTAAGCAAACACCTGAGTATGTCAAGAAACATAAAGGGAGAAATAAAAACAGCGATCACGGCAGCAGTCAAAAAACTATACGAACTCGTAAAAGAAACTGAAGCTGAACTCAGGAAAGAAGAATTACAAATTAATAAAACTTACAACAAATCAAAAAGTTAGAAGTGGAAACAAAAAACTGGAGAAGTGTAGAAGAGAGATGGAGGAGCACGCCAAAAACAAAGATGAAGTTCTCCTGACTGAAATCACGAAAATGTTAGAAGAAAAAGAAAAGAAAGACACTGAAAGGCAGGAAAGCTTGTAAACAAAACTGAGGACGTACGCGGCAGCGACGAAGGAGAATCTCAATCCTAAAAACGCAAGAGCCACTACACATAAAACACAAGAGATGCACTCCATCATAGTAAAATCCTCTGGCCCAGAAACCAGCGGAGAAATTTGGAGCGAATTCGAAGCAAAATCGCCACCAAGAACACCGGTTTAAATGTCGATAGAATCCGGAAAGTCAAGGACCAGAGGGTTGTCATAGGGTGCGACAAGAATAGGTGAAATTAGAGACCGCCTCAGGGACGACCAAAAACTAACAGTGGAAGAAGCCAGAACAAAAGACCCACTAGTCGCCCTTAGAGGCGTGATAAGCACACACACCGACGAAGAAGTGGTGAGCGCGTTGTTAAATCAAAACAAGCAACTCTTTCGAAACGTGCCAACAGAAGTAATAAAAGTGGAGGTAAAATACAGGAGGAAAACGAGAAACCCACTTACAGACCACATAATACTGCAGGTGTCCCCGCACATATGGAGGGAGTTAACAGCAGCAGGCAAAGTCCACATAGACTTTCAACGCATAGCCGTGTTTGACCAATCGCCGCTAATACAGTGCTCCAAATGCCTTGGTTATAGTCACGGCCGGAAGCACTGCAAAGAAACGGAGACAACCTGCTACCACTGTGGAGGAGCACATTTAAAAATTGATTGCCCAGACCACAAAGATGGATCTCCCTCGTCATGCGTGAATTGCAAAAAGGCGAATGTGACCCAAACCTCACACAACCCAAATGACCCAGATTGCCACATAAGAAAAAAGATGGACAGAAAATCCAGAAGCCGAATGGCGTATTGCTAACGCCAGAGTTGTGCAAAAATCAATTAAGGTGATACAAGCCAATCTGCAAAGAGCAAAAATCGCCACTGACGAATTGATCATGGAGGCGCAAAAGCGGCGAATAGCGGTGGCCCTAATCCAGGAGCCGTATGTCGGGTCAGAAGGCAAGATGAGGGAGTACAGGGGTACCAGTGTGTATCAAAATATAGACACGGTAGGAGGCACCAACAAAGCGGCTATTGCAGTACTAGATGATACAATCGAAGTCCTGCAATACCCTGAACTTACAACTAGAAAATAATAATAGGAGGAGACGTCAACGCCAGCAGCCCATGGTGGGGCAGCAGCACCACAAACGACAGAGGTGAGGAGGTAGAAGCGACTCTGGACAGTGTGAGTATGGAAATCGTGAACCAGGGCGGGGAATACACTTTTGACACCATCAGAGGAAACACAAGATACTCTAGTTGTGTTGACATCACCGCCAGTTGCTCTCCGAACGCAATCTCTCAATAGAACACATAAACAGTATACACTCAACACAAGATTTAGAAAACACACTCACACACTACACAAACATTATCACAGAGACATGCAACACACATACCAAAAATTAAAAAACGCAAAATACTCACCTCCCCCCCATTGTGGTCCGAAACGCTCTATCAGATGAAGAAAGATGTCGCCAAGAAAAAGAGGAGAATACGAATACGAAAGCGAAACAGAACTATAAAGAAGAAATTGAGAAAGAAATGACAGACAGCTGGAAGTCCTTTTGCAGCAAGCAAGACCGAGAGAGCCTTTGGGATGGAATATACTGAGTGATAAAAAGAACCAACCAAAGGAAGAAGGACGAGATGCTGAGTAAAGATGGAAGGACTCTGACGCCTGAAGAGTCAGCGCAGTACCTGGCGGAGACCCTTTTCCCAGAGGACACGGCAGTGGGAGAAAGCAGGGAACAATCAGAGATAAGGAGCCGAGCCGAAAGGTTAAACGGTACAGTGCATAATGATAACTATGATCCGCCTTTTACCTATATGGAACTAACTGAAAGTGTTGCCAGCTTCAACCCGAAAAAGGCACCCGGCGAAGATGGGCTCACGGCAGATATATGCGAACAAGCAATTTCAGTAAACCCTTCCATCTACTTAGCGCTAGCAAATAAATGCCTAAAACTCGGATACTTCCCTATCCAATGGAAAAAGGCCACGTTTATCATATAACGGAAACCAGACAGGGAAGCATACGACCAACAAAAGGCATATCGCCCAATTGGGCTGCTGTCAGTATTGGGGAAGATCATGGAAAAGATGATCGGCAAAAGGCTGAACTGGCATTTAATACCAAGAATGTCGGAGAGACAATACGGCTTCGTCCCACAGAAGGGCACGGAGGACGCGCTATACACTCTGACAAAGCATATTAGGGAAGGCCTGAGGGCAAAAAGGGTGGTAACGGTAGTGTCTCTCGATATCGAGGTGGCTTTCGACAACGCTTGGTGGCCGGCAATTAAAACTAGACTAGCCGAAGAGGACTGCCCCCTCGGTGTCGGGAGGATTATCGATAGCTACCTAAAGGACCGAAAAATCTGAGTAATATATGGAGGAACGGAGCTTGGGAAAAACCACGAGTAAAGGGTGTGTACAAGCGGCAAGGGCTCCATAAGCGGACCGACATTTTGGAATCTACTGGTAGACCCGCTGCTTAAAGACCTAGAATCTCAGAATGTCTACGTCCAAGCCTTTGCAGATGATATTGTGTTGGTCTACACAAACGATAGCGCACTGGAAACAGAATTAAGCGCAAATCAAGTACTGACACATATCCAAAGGTGGGGACAGCGCAATAAACTTAAATTCGCACCAAACAAAACCAAGTCCATGGTAATAACAAATCGGACAAAATATGATATTCCGAGACTTACCATGGCTGGCGTAGACATAGAAACATCAAAAAGTATTTAAATACTAGGACTTATTATAGATAATAAACTGACTTTTAACGATCATACGGCAGCGGTAGCCAAAAAGGCGATAAACCTGTACAAACAGATAGCTAAAACAGCGAAAGTAAGCTGGGGTTTAAATCCAGAAATAATCCGTACAATCTATACAGCGGTAGTAGAACCAATAATCCTTTATGCAGCCAGCGCCTGGTCTCCATCCGTAAGCAAGCTGTATATAAGGAAAAGGTTGGACACGATCCAACGAGGCTTTGCAGCAAAAATCTGTAAAGCACACAGAACCACTTCGCTAAACTCAGTAAGTACATACGTGAGTGAAAAGTTCAAAAAACTAAAAAACTTAGGAAAAACAGTGATAAAAGTGAGTGCGGCGCGCGATCTAGATCGGTAACCCTACCCGTTCTTCGCATCATGAGATGCGTCTTAACGAGCTTCATCTTTTGACGTCTCTGACGGTTTTCCGCCAAAGGGTTTGGAAGAAAATTACAACGTCCCCCACAAGTGCAATATACCACAAAACGCGTCTTGGCACTTTAGAACCGAAAATCAAAAATAACCTATTAAAAAATAACAAAAAAGAGGATTACTCAAAAACAAAAGCGGTGACCCCTATATTAAATATTAAAATATAAAATATTCTTTAGACAGAACTCGAAAAGCTGCACCTTTTGAGGGGTCAACCAGATTTTTCGGATAATAAACAAAAAAGTTATTAAGAAAAAAACCAAAAACCACGTGCCACGAGGTTGGTGTTCCCGTGGAATATAGAAGACGTGCGACATATCCTCAGAAAGCTCCCACCGAGCAAGGCGCCGTTTAGAAAATTGAAATCAATCCAGTAGTGGCGGAGAAAAGTCATCGGGAAGAAACCGGGAGAAAAACGTTAATATCTCGGGAACGGTGAGTCCTAGCCCAATTTTGACGGTACAAAGATGGCGAAACAGCGGGAACGACGAAAATATTCCTAAGGAATGTTAAAGATGCTCACAAACAAATAAGATAGAGGAGATTCAGTCCTGAAATGACACAGATCCTCACAGGCCATGGGCCCCCCTGTTGGCAACATAATGTAATATTTATAATCTATAATTCAATTGATACAGTTTTTTGTTATCTGTAATTTTTCTTCCTATCTATGTCTATGGAATTAACTTTTTCCGCTTTCACCGTAATACATTGTAATGTGTGCTCAAATAAAGTGGTGCAATAATTAATGGAAAATAAGTGTTTTTACTACGCCTATCACCTCACCTGGAATCAATCAATCTACAGTCCACGCTCTGCAGCTAGGAATAACCGTGTGTTGGGTAACTAATCATACTAGTGCCCTACACCCCCCCCTCCGCGGATGGATTTATCCGCGGCTCCTAGGCTTGTCGTGCCGGGGGGGGGGGGGCTAGTACTTACCTGAAGCGACCGCAGCAATGCCGTCGCAAAGGGGAAGCAAATAAGGAGGTTAAACAGGCTGGCCTTTATTTTGGAGGCCGGTCTCTGGAGAGGGCATCAGCGCCCAGTCCGCTAGTCCCTGGCAAGCTGGAGAGATCATTTGATGTCAAAGGTGAAACTGAGGGACCTTTGCTTTGTGCGGTGGATGACTAGGGAGGAGGTCCATTTTATTGCGTTACTGCAATGCTGCGGGGTGAAAACCAGCATTTCAGGGGAACCAATATGGCATCTGATGTCGTTGTCTTCTTGGCCGCAGTGCGGTGGAAGGCCGGCGGAACCGGAAATTATTGTATGTATGTTCTGTTTTCTGGGGGGCAAACCAGCATCCATTGACGATATAGTCAGCGTATGGTGGAGGACGCTTGACCATTGTTAAGCTAGTGATTGTTTGTATTCGATTAGAGGAGAGGCCTTATTGGGCAATAAGAGGAAGGAAACCTTGATACAAAAATCCCCTAACGTTCGGCGCTGATGAGCGTGGCGTCGGACACCTAATCCCCTCTTTATGAGAAATTGAGGTCGTTGGTGGGCAGGTCAATGCCAAGCGCTGCCAAGCGCTGTGGTACATGGGTCTTAAAGATGGCCACAGGGGAGCAACCCCTGTTTAAATAAAAGCAAGCATGAGTTTTAATACACGTTTAACCACCCCAGGTGGGTTAAATCCCACCCATGGTGATGCCATGGCTAAGCCCCACCGTACTCTGGGGGAAACTCATGAGAAAGAGAAGGAGGAGAGAGGAGTAGAATATGGACATGTGAAGGAGAATGCAACGGACGAGAGCGAGATGTCCAATCGGATTACGCCTGTCCCTCTCAAAGAGTGTAGAGTGGTCTTGGTGCGAACTCCACTGCCCTCATCGAGTCCAAATAAGAGCATAGTAGACCGTGAAGTTGAGGCTATTACTGATATCGAAACAAATATTGGACGACAAATGATGGAGGCCAGTCTGGAGACGACTAGTTGTGAGATGCTCAGCGCTGACGCATCGTATGCCTCCATCAACTCACCACATGTACTAGGACGACCGGCGAGATTTTTTCGTCGGAAAAGAAGGAAGGTGGAATGTAGTTCTAGCGACACTGGAACCCCTCACTCGACGAGAAAGTCCCGGGCTGTCTTAACTAAACTTCAGCAAGTAGAACGGGAGAAGAGGACTGAAGCGGAATTGCTAGAGGCGACCCCAGTCCCCCAACAAAAATAAGTAGCGCAGCGCAAACGGAACGGCTCGCTGACCCTAAGGTGAGGATTGAGGCCAGCCTCGCCGCCGTGGATAAAGTCGCCCGAAATTCGAGCAAGCTAAAGGGCACCTTTGTGTCAGCGCTTAAACAGGCGGTAACCTCAATCCGCAGAGACGCCGAAGAGCTAGCTGACCGTACAGTCAGTGAGGAGACGAGGGCGCTCCGAAACGAAAATGAGAGGCTTCGTGGACAGGTGGAAGCACTTAAAAAAGAAATGGCTGAGTTGAGAACCCTGATCCAAGAGTGTTCCAGGAAACCGGTGCATAAAGAGCAACCACGGAAATCCTCACCATCTCCGCAGCTACCACAACTTTTGGCCGAGCTCGAAGGTCGTTTAATGAGACAAATGGGCGAATGTCTTAGTGCGAGACTCGCCAACCTGGAGCCTCGCCTAAATGCGGAACCAAAAATTCGACCACCATTAGCAGCAGATCCGATTCCAACTGGGGACTCTACGCCGAAGAGCATAGGAGGAGACTCGCTAGAGCAGAAGCGGAAACCTAGGAAAGAAAGGAAACTGCGGGCACTTGATGCTAACAATGGACAAAACTAACTGCCAAAACGGCTGCCACCCTATTGGGGACAGACCTTAGGTTAAGTCTAGAAAATTGACAAATTGACGGCTGCCACCCTTTTGGGGACAGACCTTAAGATAAGTTTTAACAAATTTTGACAGTTTTAGCATTTATTATTGACCTGTATATTATTGAATACTTATTTATCGAGAAAGATAATCACCTAATTAAAAAAGATATTCTACACCCTCCACTTGTAATATGTTTGGCTATGCTTACTTCATGTAAGTCTGTTAAAAATAAGGCAGCTACTAAATTAAACTTTTTTAAGGCAGATTATTCTGCAATCAAAAGTCACATGCATAACATTGATTGGATAGGAGCGCTAAATGTAAGTGGTAACATACATGACATGGTTGCAGCATTTTATAACAAAATTGATGGGATCATTACAGCTCACGTGCCTCGAACAAAAATCATAAAATCGTATTATCCGCCGTGGTTTGATAAAGCTACCATTAGACTGCTTAAAGAGAAAAAAAAATCGGAACATTTTTAGAAAATTTGGTAACCCACGTGATGAGTATGAATTTAAATTGCTTCGTACTCGTTGTGATAAACTAATTAGCAATAAATACAAAGCATATATTAATAATGTTGAAAACAATATATCTTAAGATGTAAAACATTTTTGGAACTTCATTAAACACAAAAGGAAAGACTCATATACAATACCACAAAAAATGTATCGAGGTGGTGAAAAAGCCACACAAATTGGCGAAATAGCTAATTTATTTGCGAAGCACTTTAAATCAGTTTTCAGTTGCAATGATATTAGTATATTAAGTGAATCTCAATATCCCACAATATGTAATGTCTTACCGTTATGCAATGTTAGATTTACTAAAAAGAAATTGAAAACAAAATTAAGACTTTAGATATTTGTAAAGGGTGTGGTCCAGATGGCATTCCCCCAGTTTTTATTAAAAGTTGTTTATCTTCTTTAACGTTACCATTAAACTTAATTTTCAATAAATCACTAGAACTAGGCACGTTTCTGACAATGTGCAAGAAAGCTAGAATCATACCGATATTTAAAAAGGGTGAGACAAATATTGTTACGAACTACAGACCTATTTCTATTTTAAATACATTTTCTAAGATTTTTGAATCGCTTCTATGCCCAATACTCAAATCACACTGTAAGGTTTTTGTGGATACTGCTCAGCATTGTTTCTGTGCCAAAAGATCTACTGATACTAATCTCTTTGAGTATGTAAATTTTTTGGCAAATGCAATTGATGAGAGAACACAAATTGACTGTATTTACACAGATTTTTCTAGTGCCTTCGACAAAGTTAGTCATAGTGTTTTATTGAAAAAGTTGGATTACTTATATGGTATTGGAGGAGGGTTATTAAAATGGTTTGCGTCATATTTGACGGATAGAACTCAGTTTGTGGCAGTTGGTGGTATAGAATCGCAATCATACATTTCCACGTCAGGTCTTCCACAAGATTCTCATCTTGGTCCTGTCTTATTTTCACTTTTTGTAAATGATATTGGTTCGTTTGTAAAATATAGTAATTTTTTTTTGTATACGGATGATATGAAAATTTTTAAAGTAATTAATAGCGCTCAAGATGTGGAGTTATTGCAAAGTGACATAGTGGGTATACAGAGGTGATGCGATCATAACAAAATGGTTCTAAATTCCAAAAAATGTTCGCAAATTACTTTCTCTAAAAAGAAACTACCAGTCCCCTCTAAATACACTATCGACGGAGTACTTCTACTGCAGGTCAATGAAATTAGTAAAATAGTAAATTATCGTTCATACTTCATTGTAATGCAATAGACAATAAAACTTCTAGAATGTTAGGTTTCATAAGGCGGTCGAATAAGTGTTTTAAAAATGTGAAGCCTAAAATCATACTTTTCAATTCTCTGGTCCGTAGCATTTTGGAATATGGTAGTGTTGTTTGGAACCCTCAATATTCTGTCCATGTTGACAGAATCGAACGAATTAACCGCCATTTCTCCAAACATCTATGCCGATTAAATAATAACATTAGCTATAAATGCGAGTATGAAAAAAGACTAGCTTTTTTTCACTTGCAATCACTCCGCGATAGACGCCGCCTTATCGACATTATATTTGTTTCCAAAATTTTAAATAACTTGGTAGATTTACCTAATGTTTTAAGTCAAGTGAACTTCCTCTTAAAGAGGAACACAAGAAACACTTCAATCCTTTTTTACGTTCGGGCACCAACGTCGGTTGTACTGCTACTCTACACAGATCTCTATCGACATTAAACGACGCTCTGAGTACATGCCAAGCAGATCCATTTAATGACAGTCTCAATGTCTTCAGGCGTAACATGCTGCAGCCACTGTTGATCCGTGACCAATAGTGATAATTGCAAAGTAGAAAATTATTGGTTTTTTTTGTTTATATATATTTGTAAATTGCATGTTTGTATTTTTTTAATCTAGTTTGTTTTTTACTTTTAATGTTGAAGTAATTTTTTCTTCATCATTGTAATATTTCCCTTTAAATGTTGTGCACTCTTGTTATTGATGCACATGCATGTATCTTGTTTTCTATGTTGTGTTCTCTGTAAGTGTTTGTATGTGTTTCGTTAGTGAATGCTGCGAAGAATCTAAAGGGAGAAATTAAAACCGCGGTAACGGCCGCAGTCAAAAGGCTGTACGAGTAAGTACGGCATGGAGAACTGATCATATCTGTAGTAGAGCTATTCGGATGTTGTCCTTTATTCTCAGAACCGCTAAACCGTTCAGGCGAACCGACTCCTTGATTGTCTTATACAGTTGTCTCGTGAGAACCATGGTTGAGTACTGTTTAGCTGTATGGGCCCCGATATACAAAACTCATACAGATAGATTAGAAACTTATATAAGGGTTGGGATGTACGATTGGCTACCTCTCTGTCATCTTTTAAAACTCTTCTGTATAATCATTTCTTAACCTTATCCTATCCTGATCAATCGTGACTTGTATAAATCTTATGTTTCCTTTTACATCACTATTTGCTGTCCATGTATTTTTAAGATTAGCTTTTAAGTTTTTAGTCTGTTGTTAATATTTTTTTTTTTGTATTACTTTAGATTAAGGTACTATGTATATATATATATATTTTATATAACATTTGTTTCTGCACTTCTCGCACGAATCATGTTTCTTTTTTTTAGTTTTTTCTTTAACTAGGGTTGCCTGGAAGAGATCGCTTATTAGCGATAAGGCCGCCCGTTGCATCCCTTATAATTTTTTTTTTTGTTTTGTGTTTGATTTATTGTTTTTTGCAACGAAGTGTTAATAAATAAATGTATTATTAGTTAGACAAACTTTCATCCTGTACACTATTCTTACAAAGCATTCTGAGATAGAATACGATCATAAACTTGTAGATAGAAGGCGTAGAAAGGATACCGTATGCCGTCCTCAACTTTTCAAAACAGCTCTTTCCCATAATTCGTATTGCTTTCTAGGTACCCATTTATACAATAAACTTAACAAAGACCTTCAAGTCTATCATCTCACAAAATACAATTGTAAAAAAGTAGTAACTGAATATCTCAAATCGCTTAATTACCAAACCACAGAAAATCTATTACGACCCCTAATTTAATTTAATAATGGAACGTTATTCTCGCCCACACTAGTAACAATCACACACACACACGCACTCACACTGACCCGTACACTCACACACACATACACTCACAAATGCACATACGCACACACACATAAACTAGACTTATGTTTTTGTTAACTTTTTTCTATGTTTTTTATATAGGTATTTTTTTTTATTTTTTATTATAAATTATTTATTGTTCGTTTTTAAAAGTTGTATTAACAATACTTTTTGCCAATATGTCTAAGAGGGACTGGTGACTTGTAATAACAGGTTTTCCCAACCTTTTTCAAGCACCAGTCTCTCACAATAATAGATAGCATTAAGTTTATTGTCAAAGGAAAGATCTATTTGCAATTAAACGATTTTTATTATTATTAATCTATACAATGGCGACTATAAAATGCTCAAAACAGAGAGAGATGGAGTCAATTGGAGGAGGCCTATACTCAATAAGAGGTCCTTGGAAAAACAGAAAATATATATATATATATATATATATATATATATATGATGTATGTATATATATATATGTATGTATTTTGTGTGTGTGTGTATATTTTGTAACTTTTTGTAAATTTTTCAAGGAATAAATGAGGCTTAATTATTATTATTATTATTACAATGGCGGTTTGTTAGAGCTTTATGCTCGAAGTATGGTCTTGGGCGCAAATTAAAGCAATATGACCAGCGTCTTGCCCACTTTCAGATGATAAGTCTTGAAAAGAGAAGATGGATCCTGTGCACTTTACATAAAATAGCAAATGGCTCACTTGACAGCTATCTATTGGATAAACTTTCCATCCAGGTACCGATGCGTACAAGTAACAACAATGTATCCCAGAATGGTCCGCTCGCTAGAATGTGCAATTTCTCACAATAGTAGTTATGAATTTAGAAAGATTATTCGCGGTGCAGACTTGCAACCAGAATAACTTATTTATTTTTTTGGCATTCAATTTTACTATTTTCTATTTTTTTTTGTCATTAAGTTTAATATAATACGTACATATTATATACTGTATGTAATTGTTAGTATTTGGTAAACCAGCGCTGAAGATTCCACGAAAATGCTGTGTACAGATCTAATTGGACTTCAGGTTTACAAATAATGTTTAGTGTGTAATAACTGTATGTATTTAACCAATCTGATGTCTGTTTCTGTACCTTAAATATAAAAATAAAATAAACTTCAGGACAAAGATAAGAGAGATGATCAACCGAGCAAAGTCACGAACCAAGCGGTAGCCAAAAAAACAGAAAGGAAGGAAACGGCCAAGGAAGGTGAACTGGACGAAAGAATAGAAAAACTTGAGACAATTAGTAAGAGCTTTGAAAAAATTAGTAAAGAAAGCGAAGAGAGGGTCATGGTGAAGTTGGGGGAAATTAGAAGTTATGCCGAAGTAGCAGCAGTAGCAAGGACTGAGCCGAGGGTTGATAGCGGCAGAACCGCAAGCAACGACCAAAGGGAAACTGGACTGTATTCTTTGATTGTCGAGCCAGGGGAAGAAACCGAAGCGGCCGAGGATACAGTCCAAAAAATTAGATGCTCCCTTAATGCAAGAGACAATGGCTTTAAAATTGAAAAACTCCAAAAAATAAAGGGAGGTAAGGTGGTCATTGGTTGCGGAACTGAGGAGGAACGAACGAGGGTGAGGGAAAGAATTACGTACGGAGATAACGGAATCACGGCCAGGGAGCTTAATAACAAAAATCCTTTGGTACGATTTAAAAATATACTGAGGTACAACACCCTCGAAGATATAAAGAAAGCCCTTAAAACACAAAATAAGGCAACGACTGGAAACCTAACCGGGGAGGACTGGGTGATGACGGAAAAGCACCGCCAAAATGCTAGGAATACGCACGAGTGCCACGTCATCGTGAAGGTCTCCCCGGGGATGTGGAAGGCGCTGACCCGGGCGCAGAAGGTCCACATTGACCTCCAGATGGTCTGGGTGGAGGATCGGTCCCCCCTTGTGCAGTGCGCCACGTGTCTCGGATACGGACACACGAGGAAGCACTGCCAAGGGGGAAAACTGACCTGCTCCCAGTGCACAGGTGAGCACCTTAGGGCAGACTGCCCAAGTAAAGATAAGTCACCAGAGTGTGCAAACTGCAAAAGAGCAGGAATGGACAGTGTGGACCACAGCACGTTTAGTACTGAATGCCCAGTGCGCAGGAAGTGGGATGCGCTGGCCAGGAGGTCAGTGGCGTACTGCTAAATTCCCCTAGGCGAAATCCGGGTATTACAAGCAAACGTACAGACATCTGCACTCGCCACGGAGGAGATAATTATCGAGGCCAAAAACAAAGTATCTCCATCGTGCTCGTACAGGAACCTTACATCGGAGCGGTGAGAAGAATGAAGGACTACACGGGCACAAGAGTCTACCAACACACCGGCAATTTGGAAGTTGGCAATCATTCTAAAGCGGCTATTGTCGTACTAGATAATAATATCCAGGTCACACAATACCCCGAGTTATCCAGTCCGAATATGGTTGCCATATCTGTAGATACAGAAAGAAGAAAACTCAACCTAGTCTCGATATACTTCGAACCGCATCCGAACCCCCTACCCGCACCTCCAGACACTGAAACAAGTCGTCGAGAAATTAGGACGGAGAATAATAGTGGGAGGGGACGTAAACGCCAAAAACGTCTGGTGAGGGGATAGGATAACCAACGAGAGGGGAGAAGAGCGACCTTCCATAGCGCCGGATTGGAGATCTTAAACCAGGGCGGGACGCCAACGTTTAACACTACCAGAGGAAACACAATATACTCTAGTTGCGTCTGCGTCACGGCAGCGACGCCTGACCTCCTCCGTCTCATTGTAGACCTGAGGGTGGACCAGAGTGTGACCAGTTCGGACCATAATGCCATCCAGTTTGAGATCACCTCACGGATCAAAATGGATGATGGATACGCGAGATCAACTAGAGTGTACAATGTTCGAAAAACAAACTGGACACACTTTCGTTCGAAAGTAAGACAGTTGCTTTCTGAACACGAACTCACACCACAATACATCAACTTCAACACCCTAGACTCCACTACACTCCTAGAAAACACCGTAGTTCAATACACACAGTTAATCGCAGACACCTGTGACACACACATTCCAAAAATTAAAGTACAGAGAAAACACACCAAACCTGGCACTACTAGTGCGTAATTATCTCAGTGACAGGGAGGTCCGCGTCGTCTACGGAGCAGCTGTAGCGACAAAACCAATGAACAAGGGCTGCGTACAGTGATCCATCAGCGGACCCACCCTGTGGAATCTGCTGCTGGACCCACTACTAAAAACACTAGAGGGAGCCGGTGTGTACGCGCATGCCTTCGCGGATGTCGTAGTCCTCCTGTTCGAGTCCAACACGGCGCTGGAAACAGAAAAATCAGCGAATGATGCACTCGCACAGATCTGGGAGCCCCACTCCAGTGAGTTCGCACAGAAACAAATTAAGTTTTGCCCCCGCGAAAACCAAAGCGATGCTCATCACGAGAAGACTAATATATGACACGCCACGACTTAACATGGGCGGCACACAAATAGATATGTCGGACAGTGTGAGGTTTTTGGGCTTGACGATAGACGATTGAGAAATGGTTATTGGTCCTAGGACCCTCGTTAAAAATCAAGAAAAAACGGGCGGCCAAACAGCCGCTGAATCCGGAACAATCGGTCAGTGACCAGGGAAGAAACCAACCCCAAAGGCATAGTGAGCAGGGACTGGTCCAACCCCTGGTCGCCCGCTTCTCCATCTCTCCACCCAAGCAAGGCGGGAAAGAACCCCCAATTAAAACATCGGAAAAAAGTAAAGGAAAAGAAAAAGAAAATTAGGTATTAAGATATTAAGAAAGATATTAAGCAGGCCATACGAACGCAAAACAACAACATCGCTGAGGCATTGATAAAAAGGACTACAGGATTGCGGAGAAATATCGTCGCAGGGCCAGAAACCCGCACGAATCTCACGTCCTACAGGTGTCGCCAAGTCTCTGGCAGGCATTAACACAGGCAGGCAAACCCCATATTGACCTGCAAAGGGTGCTGGTAGATGATCAGTCTCTCTTCATGCAATGCATACACTGCCTCGGATACGGCCATGGCCGAAAATGCACTGTCAGGTAGCCACATTCAAGCCTTCGCCAACGACGTTTTATTAATAATAACAGACACAGACACCAACACACTCCAGCATAAAGCAAACTTCACATTAAACACAATAGAATAGATATATATATATATAATAATACTAGTATACCTGTGCCATTAGTCTAAAATCACTACATACTTAACTTGAGTATTTACGCTTCTTATTGGAAGCCAAAACAACACCTTTGTAGCATTATGATGACTCGCAGAGGCCTTGCCTTACAAGAAGAGTCTAAACTTAAGCTAGCGCTAAGGGAATTGAATGCTTCCAGGGAGTTGTGTGCTCAGTTAACATTAGAGAGAGAGGACAATGAAAGAGAGCTGTTGGAAGTGCTAGAGGCCAATAAAAAGCTTAAAGCCGAACTATCATTGATATTTCAGCAAAATAACACACTTCAGGATGAGTGTGACTTGCTGAAAAGTCAATTGGACAAGCTTGATGGCTATGGCTTAGAATATGAAAGTGCCTTGAAACGCATAGCTAATCTTGAAAGGGAATTGTATGAGGCTAATCAACATATTATAAAGCTTGAAGAAGACTCACACCAAAAGTCAGAGACTATAACACAAGACCTTTTTAAAGACTTAGTTTACAATAGTTCACTTTCTAAATCTAATCCCTCTACAGAATATAAAAATATTAATGGATGTAGTATAAAAAGAATAAAAAAATACATTAAAATCAATAAATTTATAACTAAAACTCAAAAATTACTGAAAAAGTACAACATTGTATTAGATAGTAAAAAAATAATGAAGGAAAACATAATACTTAAAACTAATATTGACATGCACTTAATTGAACTTGAAAATAGTAGGATTAAATATGACTTTGACACCCAACAACTGCAAAAGGAGATCTTGGATCTTCAAAATATAGCAGATTCCATGGTATCAAAATTCCAGGAGTCCCAAATGATGGTTTCGAAATACTCGACTGCTATGGAAGATCTTATCAAGATCTCCACACATGCAGCACAATGCTTTGAGCTTGAAAACTCAAGCAAGTCTGTACAGGTGCCATCACCAGTATGTAGGGTTAATAACATTTCAAAGCTAAATTTAATGTACTGTGACCAAATAGGCCATCAAATGAGCCAATTTTTAAATAAGGAACAAAATATTATAAACAGCTGTTACCCAAATGCTACTTTTAAATATATTATAAAGAACATTGTAACAGAGACTTCCAGTAAAGCGGATAATCTCATTATATTTATAGGCAATAGAGGGAATCTAAACAAAAAGGAGCTTATTAGCTGCTATGAAAAATTGTGCCTACTTAATACTAAAAATCTAATTATGTTTACATTCCCTTATAGTAAACACTTTAGTCAGCATGAAAATAATGCGAGACATATTTTAAATCAGACAATGCACACATTAACATTGTACAATAAAAACTTTACACTAATTGATACCAATAGGTACATTAGTTGTAACAATTATTTTTTGACAAAGGATAGATATAATCTACCTACATATTTTAAAAGACAGATAGCTGATTCGCTATCATATTTATTGTATATAACAGCCAAGAATTTGGCTAGACAACCTGCTTCTATTGAGCAGGTTTTAGTTAGTAAGACCTTGGAAGATATTCCAAGAAATAGTATATCTAATTTAAATTAGACACTAAGACAACAGAGAGTCTCTCTGGCCTAGAATTAAAAAGTAAGCTAAGTAGATTTAAGAACAATACTATCAATCTGGTTCACCAAAATATACAAGGCATGAAAAGTAAATTACTAGAAATTGAGTTGTTTTTGAGCAGTGAAAATGTTGACATACTGTGTATTACAGAACACTGGTTAAAGACATGTGAACTTATGTTCAATTTTTGTAATCATCAGATTGGTAGTTCGTTCTGCAGAGGAAATGCAATACACGGTGGCTCATTAATATTGCTTAGTAAAAAAATAAAATTTAAAGAAAGGAAGGACATAGTGAGCCTCTCTGTGGAACGCCTTATAGAAGTATCTTGTGTGGAGCTGGAGCAATTTATCATTGTTAGTTTGTATAGCCCTCCTTCAGCTCAATATGATAGTTTAGAAAAAATATTGGAGCAGGTTCTGTACAAATTGCAAAAATCCAAGAAAAAATTGATCGTTAGTGGAGACTTTAATGTAAATTTGCTTGACAACTGTAGTTCAAGTAAACGTTTGCTAAATCTGTTTAAATCATATAATTTAATTAATACTTTTATTGTACCAACTAGGGTAACAGCCACCACGGCAACATGTATTGACAATATCTATAGTAATATAGTTCCTCTCAACGCCTGTATTATCAACAAACTTACATCTGACCACTCTGGTCAATTGTTTGAATTTGAAATACTAAAATGTAAAGATCAAAAAAAGAAAATATGCACAATTCCTATAACAGAGGATCGGTTAGATAGATTTAGGAAAAATTTGATATTTAAAATGCCATTTTTGCGTAGTAACCAATGCCCTAATAATTTATATAGCACATTCTTTGATTCATTTATTGGTGAATTCAAAAATGTGTTCACTCCAAAGACTTTTTTGGTCTCGGAGAAACCTACCTTTTGTGACTGGGCAACTCCGGAGCTACACAAAAAAAGGCTAAAATTGTATGAGTTGTATGATGAAAAACAGTATAATGACAGTGAAGAATTTAAAACTTATGTTAGGATATTCTCAAAAAGTTTTAGGCAAGAGTGTAGAATCGCTAAGGCGAAACACTTAAGTCTTAGAATAAACAACAGCTCTGATAAGATAAAGGCTACTTGGAAAATTATAAACGAGGAGACTGGAAGAACCTCCAGAAAGGATACTGAATTCAAAGTGAACATAAACGGCAAAGTAATTAGTTCCGACCTCGAAGTAGCCTCTGCATTTGAAGAGTTTTTTACTAACATTCCTTTAAATACAACCAGCGTTTTAAATTCTTCACCATCAGCCGCCCTTTTATTATTGAAAAAGAATGTTCCTGTATGCAATCATAAGTTTGTATTTAGCCGCATTAGCTGCAATGACATTATAAAAACATTTAAACAGCTAAAAATAAAAAAAACTAAAGATCTTTGGGGTGTATCTGTTTTCATTTTACAATCAGTAATCAATACTATCAGTTCAGAGTTGGCTATAATATTTAATGAATGTATAGATTGTGGAGTCTTTCCAGACCAGATGAAGATAAGTAAAATCACACCGTTATTCAAAACGGGCAGCACTTCGGACCCCACAAATTTTAGACCCATATCTGTGCTGCCGGCTTTGAGTAAAATCTTTGAAAAAATCATACTTGAACAATTATTGACACATTTTAATAATAATAAAATTATGCATAGCCAGCAGTATGGTTTTACAAGAGGTCGCTCCACAGCAGATGCTGGCATTCAATTAATTTCCGAGATTTTAAATGCTTGGGAAAGTTCTCATGATGCCATTGGAGTTTTTTGCGACTTATCAAAGGCTTTTGACTGTGTCCATCACGAAATCCTAATCAAGAAACTTCAACACTATGGCATTGGCGAAAGGGCGCTAAATCTTGTGGAATCATACCTGAGCGATAGAATTCAAAAGGTAAATGTAAATGGAGCTATATCACAGGGATCCTCTGTTACTATGGGAGTACCGCAGGGCTCCATACTTGGTCCCTTCTTATTCCTTGTCTATATAAATGACCTGCCATTTCTTGTAAAGGAGCTTCACGAGATAGTACTGTTTGCTGATGACACTTCGCTTTTATTTAAAGTGAAACGACAAAATCCATCACTTGATAACGTAGACAGTGCCATCTCCAGTGTAGTTCACTGGTTTAATACAAATAATCTTAAGTTAAACGAAAAGAAGACAAAATGTGTTAAATTTGTAACTACAAATGTAAAAAATAGTCATTCTCAAATAATAATTAATGACGAGGAAATAGACTTTGTTGATAATGCGGTGTTCTTGGGAATTACTTTAGATAGTAAACTCCAGTGGGGCCGACACATAGAAGGTCTTTCGAATAGGCTAAGTTCCGCAGCGTTCGCAGTTAAAAAGATACGCGATCTTACGGATGAGAACACAGCAAAGCTTGTTTATTTCAGCTATTTTCATAGTATAATGTCATATGGTGTTATTTTGTGGGGTAATGCAGCTGACATTAAATCGATATTTGTAGTGCAAAAGCGGGCTATAAGAGCGATCTGTGGGTTGTCCCCACGGGAGTCGGTCCGAAGCAAATTTAAGGAATTACATATTTTGACTCTGGCAAGTCAATACATTTATGAGAATATTTTATATGTGCGGAAAAATATAGATATCTTTAAAAAGAATAGTAGCTTCCATAATTATAGTACTCATAATAAAGACAAAATTAGCGCACCAACCAGAAGGCTGCATAAAACGAGTAATTCTTTCCAAGGCAATTGTATACGTTTTTTCAACAAAATCCCTAGTGAGATACAAGCGTTGTCAATAAATAAATTTAAATCGTACATTAAAGTAAAACTGCTTGCTAAGGCTTATTATAATATAAATGAATATTTAAACGATCCTAGTGCTTGGATATGAGTTGCTCCAGTATATATTATAGGTAACACGACTGAATCTCTCGGCTGCATTTCCAGACTCTGGGGCGATCGTCAACATCCACGACTGTTTTAATGTAAAGTGGGAACAAACCGTGATCCATGTGGTATCCAATTATTTCAGTATTATTATTATTTTCTTATGTAGCCAAGTCCACATTTCAAGGATCGTCATGCTCGCTAAAATGTCATTGCTTGTGGCGGCGTCCATGCGTCGGGTTGTCTCTCTCCCTAAAATATGGCGAGGGGGCCGATGGCTGGCCATGCGTCATACTCGTGAACGGGTGCTGCTTGTGGTGACTGGTCGTACTTGAATTCGTGTATGCGGTGATGTTAATTATTTCGACTATGTGTTTGCGTGTTGTTCCCACGAGAATGTAAGTGCGTGCTCCTATTTCACCATGCCTCCTGCTGATAGGGGACAAGTCTTTGTTTTTATTTATGTTCTTATTATTATTATTATTAATTACTTAAAATGTCATGTGGAACATGGTGTAATGGTTGCAGCTCCTTACAAACGTTGTGTAAAAAAAAAAAAAAAAAAAAAAATGGCGATTAAAAAGAGTGGCGGAGAGTTTATTGCCAGTTCTTCTCTTCCGTTCTACGCCCTTGATTTGAGAACTGGCAGTAAATGTAAAATTAGAAGCATTAATATTTATTTCTTTAATGACGAATCACAAGTGTACATTGTGTTACCTATGTGAATAAATGATTTTTGAATTTGAATTTGAATTTAATAAAAGAATGGGGCGATGGAGTCAAACTCCAGTTCGGCCCCGACAAAACACAACTTTTAGCCTTTTCCAATCCAGCACAAACTTGTAAAATAACCTTTGACAATACTTTACTACTATTCACAGACAAAATAAAATACTTAAGAATTATATTAGATAACAAACTTACCTTCAAACATCACATCACATACATTACTACTAAAGCGACACACATTTTTAATAAAATTACATTGTTTACACGACCCACATGGGGACCTCATCCAGATAACATCAGACTAATTTATGAAATGGTCATCGAACCCATAATAACTTACGGGGCCTCTGTTTGGGGCCACGCGGCCACCAAAAAGTACAACAAAAAGCTACTTGCAAAAACACAACGTGGGTTTGCGTTGAGAGCTACCAGGGCTTTTAAAAACGTATCAACTTACGCGGCCGTCGCTCTCGCGGGATTCGTTCCCTTAGACCTTAAGGTCCTTGAGTCCCGCGAGATCGAAGGGGCGCGCATCAAAGGGTTAAGTAAGCATATACCAGATGTTCAGTCATATTATGTTACAAGAAAAAACCTAAGAGCAAAAGAGGGCGGAATCCAAGTTGAAAGAATTAAGAAGGCTAAAGATGGAAAAGTCGTGGTAGGGTGCAAAACAGAGCGTTAAACAAAGGCTGACACAAGGAGAAACCCCCTTAAACGTGAAAGAGGTGTCTAATAAAAACCCCCTGGTTAAAATTAAAAATGTTCTTTACTATGTATATAACAATAGAAGACATAGTAGAATCGCTAAAAAATCAAAACAAAGGGATTACGGTTCACCTACAAGATGAAAAAGATTGGCACATTGCCGAGAAGTACAGATGAAAATGCCGGAACCCCCATGAAAACCCCCATGTAGTTCTACAAGTCTCACCAAACATGTGGCGAGCTCTCACAACAGCCGAAAAAATCCACGTGGATATACAAAGAGTGTGGGTGGAGGACCAATCGCAACTCGTGCAGTGCACAATGTGCCTGGGATTCGGTCACAGCAGGAAGTTCTGCAAGCAAGAAAGTGAGCTATGTAGCCACTGTGGCGGACCACATTTAAGACAAAAATGCCCAGCTTACAATGAAGGTAAATCACCAAAGTGCGTAAACTGCCTAGACAAGGGAGAAACAGGCAACAATGATCATTGATGCCTTCAGCACCGACTGTCCAGTCAGGAAGGGCTGGGAGAGAGCGGCAAGACAGAGCTACGCCTACTGCTAAGCCAGATTGCAACCAACATAACATACGTACAAACTGATACAAGCAAATCTACAAAGAAAGGCAATGCAGGAACTTATGCAGGAAGCGGTCAAACGGAGAGCGGCTTTAGCTCTTGTACAGGAGCCATATGTCGGTGCAGGAACACAAGTCATAGGCTATGCCGGAGCAAGGGTATTTCAAGTCTCAGATAGCGCTGTACGGACCAAGGCGGCCATAGTAGTCTTCGATCAATCCCTGAAGGCTGAGTTAGCGGGCACACCTACCCCAAATATTGTAACAATCAAAATAGATAACTGGCCACGGGAAGTGCATCTAACATTCTTCTACTTCGAACCGAAACCCCACGCCATACAACCCTACCTAGAAGAACTTAGCCGAGAAATAAGAAAGAGAAGAAGTATCATAGCAGGCGATGGGAACGCCAAAAACATATGGTGGGGATCTGCGAAAACTGATGAAAAAAGAGGCGCTAGAGGCGGTTTTATCAGAGAATCAAATGGATTGACTAAATGTAGGTGATACTCCAGCCTTTGAGACGGTAAGAGGCCAAAAGCTTTACACCGGTGCACCGGATATAACTGCCTGCACCGTTGACCTGACATCCAACATCAACAACTGGATACTATCGGTGGCTTTGGAGGATCTAGATCAACAAAAAAGTACCTACACCTTTTGGTAGACCATTACACAAGATATGCATTTATTGTGACGTCAAAAACACAGAATGCAAGTGATTTTATAAAACTAACAAAGAATGTACTAGAAACAGATGAGATTGGAATAATTTTGACAGATCAATATCCAGGCATCAATTCAAGAGAATTTAAGCAATATCTACATGAAAATAATATTAAATTAATTTTTACAGTTGTGAATACACCCTTTTTTACAGATGATATTAATTCTAATCGTTAAATTCAAAGTCCGCTAGCTCGATTTTAGAATTTAGAAGAAGTAAATTTTTCTTCTAGTTATTCACTTGAACAAAAATCATGTGAAGATAGATCATTTTGTTAAAAACACTACTCGTTTAGCGGACGGACGTTTCTGCGTAAGAATCCCATTAAAAGAAGACCCGAGTTGTCTAGGTGATTCATTTCAGCGAGCGATACGGTGTGTTCTCTCTTTTGAACAGAGACTTAGTAAAAATCATAAACTTTACGAAATGTATCCTGAGTTTATGACTTAATACCAGTCGTTAGGTCATATGTCTGGGTGTGACATTAATTTAAATAAAAATTGTCTGTATATTCCTCATCATGGCGTACTACGCGAAAGTAGTACGACCACTAAATTAAGAGCCGTTTTTATCGCTAGTGCGCCTACGTCAAATAATTTAATCCCGTACCTGACACCAGGTTCGTGGTTCGGCCTCAATCGGCGATTCCGAAAAAGATTCCGTGTCTACTACATGTACCAGAGTTCACTGGTAACACGGAAACACTGCGAAAACTGATGACGAGGCAGAACCGCCACCTCAATATCAGATCTTGGACCCTGATGCACGAACGGAGAACACAGGACACGACAGGCGTATCTCTCTTCTTTCGTGTGCCGATACAAGTCCAAAAAGTTTTGGTAATTAAAATCCGTTTCTCTAAGCAAATAGCACTGTTAACTGTCACACACTTTTGGTTTCAATTTGAAGAAAAGAAAAGTCCGTTAAGTCAAACCACGAAACACGATTTTAAAACTTGACTTATTCACTATATTCTGCACTCGATGTGGTGGATCACATTTGTTGGTATAGGACCTCCGCTATTACAGCCGGATAAGCACTTTAGACTAAATATTTTTAAGGAAAACTATTTATTTAGTATTTTTTTTATGAGCATTATGCTCAACGGAACAGCTATTGAGTATGTAGACAGCTATACTTATCTTAGTTAACAGGTTTCATTTAAGAAACAAAGACACGACAAAGAACTGGAACGCCGTATCACCACAACTTGGAAGAAGTTTTGGAGCTTAAAAGAAATCCTCAAAGGTAAGCTCCCACTTAAGCAAAAGGTGGTGGATTCCTGCTTGCTGCCTTGCCTTACATACGGAGCACTTGGATTTTCAAAAACAAATAAAAGCCAAAATACGTTCGTGCCAGCGTGCAATAAAAAGGAGTATTCTCAGAATTCAATTTCGTGACAAACATACAAGTGAAACTACTCGCAGAAAACCTAAAATTATTGATGCTGAGCAATACGCCCTAAAACTTAAATGGAGATCATGGAGCAGGCCACGTATCCCGTTGTACAGACGACAAATGGTCTAAAGCAGTAACCGAATGGAGTGGTCCAAAAGGAAAAAGGAAATAGGAAGACCAATAGAGCGATGGGCCGACGGGATCGAGAGGGTAGCTGGAAAAAATTGGATGACGATTGCTCAAAATAAATTAGGGTGGAAAAAGTTGGGAGGAGGCCTTCTCCCGGACAGGGGCCGCATCTTAGTTATAGTGTATTTATATTAAATGTATTTCAATAAGATGTGGATGAATAAAGGCTTATTATTATTATTATCCTTACAAATATAAGAAGTATACATAAGAACGTTCCGTATAAAATTCAGAATATCTCGAAAAGAAGAAGAATCTCTTACCCGCACAGGCCATATCGTGGAATCCGTTCATACGGAGATGGCGAGGGACTCCAGACGCAAAGGACTGAACGCTCTCGCTGCCACTCGTAACATCAAGAGTGAGCTTAAAACAGCAACAAACACTAACAAATGGGATGTACTAATAATATTTATGTTATCATCTAAGTTAGATATCAAAACGTTGTTAAAGTGGGAGGAATATCGCAACAATTTGGAAGGCGACGTACCTACCCTCAAACAATTTTATAAATTTATGATAAACCGTGCTGATGTACTCGATCATTGAATCGTAATAATCGGTCTGGTGTTACTAGCGTGTCAAAGGTGACCAGTGCCCCTATGCGTTCTATAGCTAATAATAATTATATTCAAAGGCAAGGTCAAAATCAAAACAATGTCGTAAAATCGTTTGCGAGCACCAGCAATAATTATAGCAAGAAACCAAATAATACTTCATTTGAGTATTATTTGCAATGAGCGTCATAGGATATATGATTGTCCAACGTTTAAAGCGAAAGGGGTTCACGAGCAAATGATGGACGTGACGAAGTATAAATTGTGTGTTAATTGTTTGAGACAAGGTCACCCCGAAAGCGAGTGTCGCATGGGTCCATGCCGTGAACGCGGCTGCACCGAGCGTCACAATATTCTGCTCCATCGCCCATCATCCTCCTCAAGCCACCTCGCTCTCATTGATGAACAAGATGAAAATGAAATTATCGTTAACTATTCTAATCACAATACAAATCAGGTGTTATTATCTACTGCTATCATTGAAGTATCGAATCCAGTTGATCATCAAAAGGTCAAAGTTCGTGCTCTTTTAGATTGCGGAAGCCAATCGTCATTTATATCTGAGTCCCTAAAGACGAGACTGTCATTAAAGTCTCGCCACATTGACACACTAAAGGTCATCGGTATAGGGAACACTTCTTCAATGAATGTAATTGAAAGTTGTGATATTTAATTGAAAGCAACAAATAGTAATTTCAGTGCAATGTTATCGTGTTTTGTGTTAAATGAGCTCACCGGTCGTTTAGCAAAGACGCCGGTTGACATCACTTCAAGAAAATATTCAGTTGGCTAACCCCATGTTTTATCAGCCAGCTCCCATAGATGTACTAATAGGTGCTAATCTCTTCTGGGACATTCTAGGCAACGAACAACGTTCTCTAGGACCAAACAATCCTAAGTTAAGGAGTTCACAGTTAGGTTGGATAATCTCTGGCCCTATAAATTCAGCAGTATCTAGCAATAGGATACACTGTTATCACGCCGCTTTATTGAAATGGGAAGAGGTTCCCAGTATCTTAGATGGTGATGTACCTAATCTGGAACAATTTTATAAATTTTTAATAGATCGGGCCGATATATTGGAATCTTTGAATCGAAATAACAAGTTAGATATCAATGTTTCTAAACCTCATGTTCAAGTGCTTTCTAGCAATCATAATTATTATAACACTAATAATCAATTTTGAAAACAAGGACAGGGACAAGGAAATCATATAAAAAAAATTCTAAGTTATAAACATAATAAATATAAACAATTAAATACAAAATTTTCATGTATAATTTGTGATAAGAATCATAAAATATATGATTGTCTTACGTTCAAGGACAAAGGTTTAGATGAACAAATACAAGACGTAGTGAAATATAAACTATGTCAGATTTGTCTAAGCCAAGGACCTTGTCGCGTGGCTGGATGTGAGGAAAAGCACAACAGTATGCTGCATTGCTCATCCAACCCATCTACATCAAGCTCTCGTTCTAGAGACAGCGATCAATCAAATATGTTTGTGAATTATGCTAATGAAGACACATGTCACGTACTGTTGTCTACTGCTTTTATGGAGGTGTCGGATCCACTTGTTCAGCAAAAGATCAAGGTTCGCGCGCTTCTAGATTTTGGAAGCCAAGCTTCTTTTATAACGAAATCTTTGCAGAACAGATTTTCATTAAAGCCTAAAGCCGAAGTTTACACTCTAAAGGTCATCGGCATTGGCAACTGTTCATGTAATGTTACTGAAACTTGTAATATTCAAATAAATTCAATAAACAGCAATTATAGTTCAATGTTGTCTTGCTATGTTTTAAAAGAAAAAACAGGGCAATTACCTAAAGGCCCAATTGAAATAACATTTAAGTTGCCTAGGAACATGCAGTTGGCTGACCAACCTGCTCCAGTAGACGTCTTGATAGGTGCAGACTTATTCTGGGATATAATAAGGGATGGGCAATATTCGCTAGGCAACTGTGGTCCAACGTTAAGAAATTCCTATTTTGGCTGGTTAATATGTGGTCCTATTTATTCAGGAAGGTCTAGCAGAGCCATATAGTGTAATCAATGCTTAGTACCATATCAACAGAATAAATGAGATAATTTGTTGATAAAGTTTTAGGAGAAGGGAGGACTTTCCCTATAACCCAGTATGTAGGAAAAGTTACGATGATAAGGAAAGTGAACAGCATTTTTTAGAAAACACTGCTAGAGATAGTGACGGTAGGTTCAATGTAAAATTACCTTTTAAGAGATCTATAACTTGTTTAGGAAATAGTTATGGTTTAGCTAGAACACGATTTTTTAATTTAGAAAAAAGGTTTAGGCGTGATTCTCAATTAAAGATAGACTATTCCAATTTTATTAATGAGTATAAAGAATTAGGGCATCTGTCAGTTTTATGTCAGGGTAAGATATATGATGAAGGTCCACATTATTATTTATGCCATCATGCAGTGATCAGGTCAGATAGTGAGTCAACTAAGTTGCGTGTAGTGTTTGATGGTTCAGCAGCCACTACAACCGGTTATTCGTTAAATTAATGTCATAATATTAATCTTTTTAAATATTATTAAAAATTTTTATCATTTAGTTTTTTTATCATTCAGTGCCAAATTGTTTACCGGTAACCAATTTTGGACCCGAAGAATAGAGTTATTCACGTCGTCACGATTTTGTGACCGTCGATCTACTTTAAAAATCATTGATGTGTCATCTGCAAATAACAGCATCTTCGGTTGGTTCTGAATTATTTGGGGTAAATGATTTATGTATACTAAAAAGAGGAATGGACCCAATATTGAACCTTGAGGAAGGCCCATTGTAATTTCAGACCCCAATGAGTTTATGCCATTAACCTGAACTTTACTAATAACTCAGGAATATAACTTTTAAAATTTTTCAAAATTGAAGTGTTTATAAATCCGCCGCCACTGCCCCCAAACCCCCCGCGACTCAGCCGAGCAACTAATCACACAAATCAGCAAAACTATAAATTTCCGTCAGGGCGGATACGCCCCATTAAAAATCACTCCAGTACTTTCCAACAAAAAGATGAAAGTCGTTTTAAAAAGAGGAACATAAAAAGCACGCTCTTACAATGCTCAAAAACAAATAAATCAACATCCAGGAAGAGAAGCGTATCGATCCAATGATCATACTGAAAGGGATAAGCAAAAACACAACCGAAAATGACCTCATTAACACTATTAGAGACCAAAACCCTACCTTAACCGACCACATATGTAGCGTCAAATTCACAGCAACAAACAGAAACTCGACATTATACAACGCAATACTCAACACTACACCCTCTGCCTGGAAGGCTTTGCCGACCTCGTCAGAATAAATATAGGGATGCAGCGGGTTCACAGCGGAAACTTTTCGCCATTTAGGCAATGCCAAAATTGCCTACATTTCCGCCACACCAAAAGCCGTTGCCTTGCAACCACATCCACATGCGCCAAGTACTTCGCTCACCATCTCACCGCGGAGTGCAAGGAAAGGTGCAATCCCCTAAGTGCACCAACTGCGCCGAGCACAATACACAACACAACTCCTCCTCTTCCCCTCGGACCGCGAAAGCGTTAAGACGTGTAAGCTTACGTAAAATATTTTATAAAAATTAAATATAATATCTTGTCCGCAAATTTGGTGAAGTACCAGGCGCCCATAACGCGCAAGAAGTCAATTAACTACGGGTGAGAAGGACAACAACAGTGAACGAAACAGTTTCGTGAGCTACGCTTTACTTTGCGTACGCGCCGATGCGACGCTAGAATAAAGCTGTGCGTGAGTCATATTAATTAATCGCTTAGTGCAATTTAAAGGCGAAAGCGGTAGCGGAGCAAAAATAAGGGTCTGGCCCAAGTATAAATTCATATTCAATTTTGTGTTTTCCCAATTAGTGAATTTATAAGATGCCAAAAGTTCAACGCTCTCCTATGGCCAATAAATCACAAAGTGTTTCTGAGCCAAACGTCGACAAAATGGAAACTTTTCACACAGACCTTTACGGTGACAATGAACCACCGAGCTATGTTCAACAACGTCAAAAAAGGGCTAGAGAGCATGGATTTGAGGATGAATTATTAAGTTTTAAAAAAGAGATGAAAGATATGATTAAGTCATTGTTTGCGGAACAACAAAAAGAGCTTAAAAAAATAACGTCTGCCCAAGTAGAGATCAGAGAGAGTAATACCAACATAGAAAGTAGCCTTGCATTCCTCTCATCGCAACATGAAGACCTTAGGAAGAAAATAGAACAGCTTGAAGTACGTTTAAAGCAAGACAGAGAACAAATTATAATTTTAGAGGACAAGCTTGAGGAATTGCAGCGGGAACAACGTAAGGCTAATATTGAAATAAAAAATATGCCAAAACTACCCACAGAATCAAAGGAAGACTTAATAAACATGGTTGTAAGCTTATCAAAATCCCTGAATAGCGGTATTAAAAAAGATGATATCAAAGACATATACAGGCTAAAAGGGAAAAGAGATTCTAATAAAACGAATACTCCAATAATTGTTGAGTTATCATCCTCGATTCTTAAATCAGATTTACTAAAATCTTGTAAAACCTACAACATCAAAAATAAAGAAAAGCTACGAGCGAAGCATCTGGGAGCTACTAAAAATGAAGAAACTGCAGTGTTTATCTCCGAGCAGCTCACTGCGAAAGGCGCTAGACTACACTTTCTCGCTCGCGATCTAGCTAAATCAAAAGACTACAAGTTCTGTTGGACTTCTTACGGACGTGTTTACCTAAGAAAGAACGAAAACACCCCGGTAATTAAGGTCAAAAACGAATCACAGGTACACAGCCTCATGCAGGCATGACTCTTTAACTATTGTCCTTTTTTTGTAAACTTTTTTTCTTGTTATCCCATTATTAAACAGTTTTTTCTAAAAAACAATAGTCACAAACCTTTACACTACATATACTATTTACACTCACGCACTGATACACTCACATATATTAAACACTATTCTAGTGCGATCTCACTTTATCTCATGGCTCATGGCTACAAACACGTCACAAGTGATTATAAACATTTATTCAATCTCGGCTTTACTGCGAATTTCTTATCCCAAGTAAATTATAATTTCTCGAAGTGTACGGAAAGTATCTGGTTACTCATTTATGGATAGTCAGACTACAATCATGTACGAATTAGATAACATACAAATAGCCCAATCTAATGTCCATACTATAAATGACTTTTCAAGACAGACAACCATACAAAAATCTGATTTCACGATAATATCACAAAATATAAGAAGCATTTACAATAATTTTGATGATCTTTTAATAACTTTATCTGAGTTCAAATTTCAAGCTGATGTAATAACACTGACCGAGGGATGGATCGATCCACACAAGCCTATACCCCAAATGGATAACTACACTCACTTCGTTACAAGCCGCCATCTAAATCGTAGTGATGGCGTAGTTGTCTACATAAAATGCAACCATAAAACTATCGTTCAAGAAATAAATCTAAAACATGCATCTTGCTTACAAGTCAAAGTAGGTAACTATACCATGTTGTGTATTTATCGCTCCCCGTCTAACCTTAACGCTGAAAATTTTATAGATTCATTAAATAGTCACTTAGTAACTTTACAAACTCAGAATAACATTATAATAACAGGAGACATCAACATAAATCTAATACAAAA